AAGGATGTTGTGGACTTTTTGACCACATAGTTTCAGCCATTGAAAATCTAATTATACGAGTAGACAGCGCTCATTGATTTCTATTTGGAACAAGAATAGGAGCATTGGAACAAGTTTCTGGGCGAATCGGAACTGGATTTACGGAAATGTTTCTATGGAATATACGTAAGTAAAGTTGGCCCCAGATTCGAGTAATTCCTACCCCGATTCACCCAGGAACTTATTCCAAACATCTGATTCTTCTTCCAAGTACGACTCGATGAGCTCTATCCAGTGGTATGATTAGATTTTTGAGAGACCAAAATATCCAAGAGAAAAATTCAAAGTACTGATTTTTTACCATCGATTCCATGGAGCCCTTTCCGTAGATCTTCCCTCCCATTCATGTGAAAACTTGTTCCAAGTAGAACTCCACGAGCCCTATGTAATAGCATAATTAGATTTTTCATAACTCAAATTATATAGTCGAAAATCCTAAAATACCTACTTTATAGCGTGGGTATGGGTCAGTGCACTGTGAAAATTCGTAGAATAATAAACCCTATGAAAAGGGTTTAGGAATTTAATAAGTCCTTTTCATAGGGTTTATAATTCTATGAATTATTTATACAGTATATTTATCTCTTCCAATCTACACCTACACTCTAGTTCTGTTTGAAACAAGAATAGGAGGCTTGGAACAAATGCCTAAGCGAATCGAGATAGGGTCTATGGTAGGTGGCCCATTACTTATCGAGTATACGATAGGTTTTTTGGACTTTTTCATCATTAAGTTCGTGCTATAAAAGTTCTAATTGTACCATTAGATAGAACTCATCGAGTTCTACTCTGAACAAAAATAGGAGCCATGGAACAAGCTCCTAAGCGAATCGGAGCAGGATCTATGATGAGGGGCTCATGACTTATCGGATTTACGGTAGATATTTTGAACTTCTTGAGCACATAGCTTGATCTATTGAAAATATAATTATATCATTAGATAGAACTTATCAATTTTTGCTTGGGACAAGAATAAGAGCCTTGGAAGAAGTTCATAAGTGAATTGTCGCAGAACCTAAGAAAAAGTTTCTGTGGAACGTATGATAAAAAAAACAGTATTTTGGATTTTTTCCCGCATAGTTTGGACTATCAAAAATCCAATTACACCATTGATTAGGGCTCATCGAGTCCTACTTGCAACAAGAATAGAACATTTAGAACAAGTTCCTAAGCGAATCGGGGTAGGATCTACGGAAGGATTTTTATGCAGTCTATGTAGAAAAGCAGTATTTCGAATTTTTTTCTTGCATCGTTTAGGCTATCAAAAATCTAATCATACCATTGGATATAGCTCATAGAATTCCACTTGGAACAAGAATAGGAAGTTTGGAACAATTTTCGAAACAAATCGTGGTAGGATCTACGAAAGGGTTCTATGGGATCTATAAAAAAACCTGTATTTTCGATTTTTCTTCTGCATAGTTTAGGCTATCAAAAATCTAATTGTAGCATTGAATAAAGCTAATCGAGTTCTACTTGGAAAAAGAGTAGAATGTTTGGAACAGGTTCCTTGGCGAATCGGAGCAGGCTTTACTCGAATCTGAGGCTAACTTCACTTACGTTATGGGTATTGTGTTTTTGGTGCGAAAAAGAAGTGTAAATACTGACCACATTGTAACTATTTGCTCATAAACAGGATAAAGGCCGCCAGAGTAAGCTGAGAATAAGTGATGGATTTGTTGAAAATGTGACTTTGGTATGTTTTATCTTCACCGAACAAAAGAAGATCCGCACTTGTTTGTATCTATCGATTGCTTTGATCTAGAAAAAGTGAAATGGTGAATAATAAGAAATAGTTCTACATTAACATGTTTTTTGGACGATCCAATAGAATATTTTAAAGATTAATGCTTTACTGAGGAAATTTCCAATGGAAAACCTTCATTTGAGCATATATTTTGCTCCGCATTAGTACTCATAACGATCGGTAGCGCGCTAGCAGTACAACGTATAGGAATTGCTTCTGCCGAAAAATATTTGGGAAAGTAATAAGAACTTATTCAATTCTCTAACTGTTTTCGTTTTATAGATTATTTAAATGAAACTTTCCTATGTATATAGGCTTCAATGGGACAACACGAAAATAATCTGTACAGTTACTTCTCATACAGAAATTTGTAGAATTGAGAAGAGGCTATTGTTTTCCTAAAATAGATGAGCTTACATCGCTCATGCTGATACGGTAAATAAAATTTCTAAAAAGGTTTGTGCCATTGGTTTTTTTTTCGAGTTATGATCAGTGTTTCTAATGGAAATCTAAAATAAAGTGTACTGTACACGCTATTTCCAATGAGCAAAGTGTACAAATTAAGTTGCTTTTATAAGCAAAATGTATAAAGTATACAATTTCAATGTTTCATCTCATTAATCTAAAATAATATCAAGATCAAAACTATAAATGTTAACGGAAACACTAATTAACCATCATTTTGTAATATAAAATGACCAGCGAAACGAAAAAGAATCTTCTAAAAAAGACAATGTAACAAAATAGACGGTGGGAGTGAGATGGGAATGGGCAGGTAGACATATGGTACTAAACAAATCATCAGATGAATCGAAGGAGATCACTTCAACTGTATTCTCTTCACGTACATTTTATTGATCGAACCTCACAATCATACTGTTTTCTAGCTAAGCAAAGTATACATTGTACATGCTATTTTTTAAGACAAAGTGTACAGCAGTGTGTATTTTCAAAGGTGCAGATGTTTGTACACTTTGCTTCTGCTGTGTACACTTGCCATTAGAAACACTGGTTATGATCATTTTACTGAGTTTCCGACCTGTTGGAGGGTGTTATGGGAAAAGTCCAAATATGGAAATCTCGTATGAATGTTTCCCCCAAAATAGTTCTCATAGTCGTTAGTGTGTTGTGAAAATTTCAGCCAAAACATTTTTTTATATTGCTGTTTACTGTTACGGTTGGAAGCGCATACATGGGGATGAACTTAGATTTAAAATTATAGTATACAATAGTCTATGCCGGCATGTTTGAGTGGTTACGTTGCTCGACACGTACCCATAAGGTGCTGTGTTCAAACCTCAGTATCATCACCCATGGAATGACTCTGGACAAGTCATTAACGGCTAAGTTGTCTGAAATGAGTCATTTCGCATGAGTCATCCGTACTGACTACATCTTTAGTCAGTATGTTGGACGTAAGAGAGTGCAGATACCGCCATCTGTAAGAAGAAAAAGACGACAGATCCCGGCTGTATATGGAGATTAATAATAATAACTGCAGCCGGGTCCAACGGGCGATAAGCCTATGGGACGTTATTATTATTTTATTAATAGTCTATAGCCACATACGCAGGGGTACATACATACTCAAGCCATCCGACTATCATAGTATACTTTTAGCTTTTTGAGAAGAGAAATCAGAAGGAAAATAAAAAGGAAAAAAAGGAGAGAAATAAAAAAAAACAAAACATAAGAAAAATCAAGGAGACAGGATACATAAAGGAGGAAAAAGGGCAAATAAAGCAGATGGAGAACGCAAGGAAAAAAAGAAAAAGAAATAGAAATAGAAATAGAGAGAAAAAAGAAGAAGGGGGCACATAAACAACTGCAGATCGATGCACACATGGATATTTAATCTACACACTCAATCCACTTAGGCAACAAGGTCTTATGTCTATCTTTCAGTTTTGAAGTCTTCCCATCTGGGAAAAAAAGACCTATTTAGATAATCTCCTTTACTATTGTTAAAGCTGTCCCACTAAAATGTATCATTAGAAAAGGGAGAACGTTCTAAATTCGATTTATCAATTTGCTTCAATCTTTTAATGTATAATTTTAACGTAAAAATCCAAAGGATTTTCCTCGGTTATCGTAAAAGGATTCTGTTCTAATACAAAGAGACACCGATGCATACGTAGGTGGAGTTAGCACAAGTTTCGAGTAAGTCCAGCCAAGATTCGTCGACAAATGTGTTCCTACGGTGTCATTGCTGTTGCAAGTACAACTTTACGAGGTCTATTGATTGCTGCATTCAGACTTCCAGCAGCTCGAACCGACACGGGGAAAATCCAAAAATACGAGATTTTCACCATTGACGATTTTCCAACCGTCAAGTAAAACCCACCGAGATTCGTCCAGGGATGTGTTCCAACTCTGCCATCGATGTTCCAAATACAACTCGACGAGCTCTTTGCAATGGCGAATTCGAATTTCCCATTACTAAAACACAGTCTTAGCAAATTTCAAAATACCGCAAAAATCAAGGATTTACTTTGGTAAAACCTATCAAGATTCGTCTAGAAACATGTTCCAAGTGTGCTGTTGGTGATTCGACTACAAGTCAACGAGCTCTATCGAATGGCGCATTCATATCTCCCCATAGTCAAACTGAGTCTTGTAAAATCTCAAGATACCCCAGAAATCCCCGAGTTACTTTGGTAAAACCTGCCAAGATTCGCCCAGAAATGTGTTCCAACTCTGCCATTGTTTTTCTAAGTAGAAATCAACGATTTCTATTAAATGATGTGTTTCAGTTTCCCATAGTTCAAACCGAGTCATCGAAAATCGCAAAATACGAAGGAAATCCTGGATTTACTTTGGTAAAACTTATCAAGATTCGTCTAGGAACATGTTCAAGGTGTGCTTTTATTGTTGCTAGTGCAAGTCGACGAGCTCTATCCAATGGTTGGTTTAGGTTTTCGACAACTCCAAGTGGGCTTTTGAAAATCCAAAAATACAACAGAAATCTTGGATTAAATCTAGTAAAACCTGCCAAGATTCGTCCAGGACATATTCTAGGTATGCGATTGATGTTGCAAGTACAAGATGACGAGTACTATTTATTGGCGCATTCAAATTTTTCATAGGTCAAACTGAGTCTTGGGTGTTGGTGTGGCTTTGGTTTAGTTTTCGTATGATGCATTATTTGAATTTCCAAACATTACCATTAGCTTCCTATTAATAAACATAGAGTAGGTAATAGAGGTATCATGAACTATACAAGATATGTTGAAGGTGTGGGAGATGTTGGAGGTATAGGAGGTATAGAAGGTGTAGGAGGTATAGGAGGTATAGGAGGTGTTGGAGATGTAGGAGTTGTTGCAGATGTTGGAGGTGTAGGAGGTATAGGAGGTGTTGGAGGTGTTGGAGGTATACGAGGTATACGAGGTGTTGGAGGTGTGAGAGTCATTAGGACAATTAAGACTTCCAGAGAAGTATACATCCATTCCACAATCTGACACATACAAATCATTGCACCAACTGAGGGTGCGAGAAAGGGACTTGCATGATTCACAGCATTCTCACATCTCTTCGTATACATCCAATACCTCCTATAACTCCAACACCTCTTATACCTCCAACACTTCCTATACCTCCTACACCTCCTATACCTCCCACACATCCAACATATATAACGCTTCGGAAATATAAATGAGTTTCCCGAAAATTCAAGTAATGCATCAAATCCTCATCTTTCATACTTTTGAAAAACTCGATGGGTATACCGTCTGTTCCTACTGCTTTCTTATATTTCATTTCTTTGAGAGACATTTCTATTTCATTTTCTAATATTGAAAATCCTGTCACTTCCGTTTCTACATTGCTTTCATTCTCTATTGTGCTTTGTCCTGAGCATCCCTCTTTTGGTCATCTTCTATCAACCTCTTTCCATCTTTTGATTCTATGCATCTCACAGTTCCACATTTTCTTTTCAACCAGACTAATTCCTTTACTTTTCCGTACATCAAATCATATTTTCCACGTTTTTCTAGATCCTCTATTATTTCACATTCACTTTCTAACCATTCTTTTCTCGCTTTTTCTGTCTTTCTCTTTATCTCATTGTTCAATCTTCTATAATTTAGCCTACCCATTTCACTGTTGACGCTTTTCCATTTTCTTCTTTCATCTATCTTTTCTATCATTTTTTCACTCACTCGAGGTTTTCTTGCCCTTACGTTTTGTTTAAATCCTACCACTTCTTTTGCTGATTCAACTATCACGCTCTTAAGTCTAGTCCACTGCTGATCAACATTCTTATCTCTACTCCCGCTAACTTTTTCTAGCTTTCTTTCCATAACATCTCCAAATTCTTCTCGAACAACTTTTAGTTTTTCTAAGTCCCACCTTTTTCTTACTAAAGCTCTCTTAAACTTCTTCAACCTTAGTTCCCTCTCTACGATAACTAAATTGTGATCTGAGTTTATATCTGCTCCAGAGTGTACACATGCTTTCTTAATACTTTTCCTAAACCTTTCTTGTACCAACACATAATATATCTGATATCTAGCCCTATCACCCGGAGCTTTCCAAGTATACCTTCTTCTTAAATGATTTTTAAACCATGCATTTGTAATTATTAATTTATTTTCTCTACAAAAATTTACCAACATGTCTCCTCTATCATTCCTAATCCCGTGCCCAAAACCACCTACAATCTTATCTTCTTTTCCTTCCCCTACAACTGCGTTCATGTCTCCCATCACTATAACACAACTATCCTTCTCCTCTCTTCTTATCATCTCTCCTATTTGCGAATATAGTTTTTCTACTTCTTTATCTGTATGCGCGCAGGTAGGCATATATATTTGAATAAGTACTACATCCCTTGACTCTGCTCTCAATCTTACCATCATGAGCCTATCATTTACTAACTCTATACTTTTCACACAATTTTGTACCCTTTTTCCTAAAACAATTGCTATTCCATTCTGGCCCTTTACTTTACCTGAGTAAATCACATTGATCTCCCCACTTGTGAATTTTCCACAACCTTCATATCTAACTTCGCACAACCCAACTACATCAAACTTCTTCCTCTCTATCTCTCTTTTTAGATTTTCAAGCTTACCTGCCTGTAGCATCGTTCGAACATTCCATGTACCAATTACCAGTTTGCTTTCTTTGGTTAGGGGATTTCGCTTGATGACGACCCGAGAAGCCCCTGTTTTTCTCCTGCCGGGTAAGACACTCATACTAAATTTCTGAGTCCCAACGCCATCTAATCTTATATTATTATAACTGTTATCCATATTTGCTGGGAAAATTTAGTTAGAGTGGTTTTTCCATTGCCTGCTCTAACCCATTAGTCCACGACTCCTTATTCATTATTCAGAGCGGTCCTTTAGGGCTCCCCTCATCCGCCATCCAAGGGACGCGCCTGGTCGGGGTTAGGTCTCCCTGTCTGATCTAGAAAGAGTAATTGCTCAAGTTAATCCGAAGAGTGTTGATCTTGGTCTTATGGCAGAGCATCTCTCACAGCATAACAGGAACAATCTTCTTTGAGATCAGACACCAGGTCATTGTATATCATCTAAATCAAAAATGGCAGACTTCTTAGAAGACAAGGGGTAGATCAACTATGTCATTCGGCCGAAAATCAGAAGACGAATTTCTCAGTGACGATTGGACCTATCGGAGTTTGCTTAGTGGCATAAATCTCACTAGATGGTACACTTTTGAAATATGCATTTATAATCGAAATTTGAAAAAATCGATTGAGCACCATAATAGGTCGGGGCTTAAGCGAAATGGCTGCTAGATAAAAGAATGACGCAAGCTTCCGATTATTTCTTTGTCCAAAGCTATGCTAAAGATAAGCTTTTATTATGAAATGTGGGATGGCATGTTCTTATAAGGAAAATATTTGAACTTTCACAAATTTGTATATGAGTAATAAGCAGAAAGTCGTTTTGTAGCTGTTTAAAGTTGAATTTTATTGCAATAAAAGGAAACAACCAACGGTCGACCATTGATCTGATATTGATTCGGATGTTTGATCACATTGGCTGCTTCTTGAACAGTATTGTAAACGAGAAATGCATACCTGAAACAAAAATAAATAAAATTGGATTCGGAACATGGCTAGACGAGTCCAAGTTATAATTCGAGTCATGTTTTTTTAATGACTCGAACTTGATTTGGATTCGAAAATTGGACAATCTTGGCTTGGCTGTATGATTCAAGTCATTCATTCACAAAAAAAATTTATTTATCCTTAGAAAAAAATCACAATCTATAAAATTAACTTTTCCCTGATTCATAACTTTCATCCTAATTTTGATATACTGCATCAGAACGTTTCTTTTGTCAAGGACTTTTTTCTACTTATATATTCATGTGGTCATAAATCTTACTCCATGTGTGTTACTGGATTTATATGTTTCGTCTCGCTCTGTTTTCTTGCGGATCATTTGTGAAGTATAGCAAGACATTAAGTAAGGGTAAGGATATTTTACTCACTAAAATTGACTAACTGCGAAATGATCACCAAAAAGACAATTTTCTGATCAGTAAATTTATCGTCAATGACAACAAGCATAATAAATCGAAAAAAGTATTTACAACGGTTTACACGATTTATTTTCTGTAGACCTATCATGATTTGATTGTTTGCAATTTTACTTGTTTAACTTTACAAAAAAAATTAACTTTTCACTTTTAGGATTTACCTTTCGTTGATTATCATCCATTTCGAAATAGAAGAAGAGTGAGTACTTTTAGAATAAATTTTGACAGAAATCAGCTGAAGATCTGTGGTTTTCACCATTCGAAAAAGGAGATGAAACTGCATCGAACTATATAGACCAGATTTTTCTAAAGAGTTACCAAGATCTCTAGTCCATTTTTTCAAGAAAATAATGGTTCTTCATAGTTTGAAAAGATATAATTTTCATGAAAAATGCGAAAAAAAGCGTCGATTTTTTGTAAAAAAAATCGATGGAAAAATCTTAGTGAAACATTTATAACTCACGATTGGTGGGATCTAGCAAAGTGAAACTTGTACAGTTTGTGGACTTTCAGGTGGCCGTTCTAATGCATTCATCCAAATTAAATTCACAAAGCTTTCCGCACAACTCAATATTTTATTTTCGGGAAACTTTGTTGAAAATCTGGGGAGTCCTCTTTAGAAAAGCCTGGTCTACATAGTTCGATGCAGTTCTATCTCCTCCGTTGAATGGTGAAAACTGCTCTTCTTCAACTAATTCCTATCAAAAGTTATTCCAAAAATACCCACCTGTCTACTATTTTGAAATGCTATCTTAAAGTCTTATGCAGCACTTTAAAGCATAATAAAGCCTTCGTTTAACTTTAAAAGTGATAAGAGAATTAGCAGATTTAGCAAATAAATATTTGTATGGTAGATATCAATAATAATGCACAGTGCAGAGTTCTAATCGGTAAAGTTTTTTTTTGTACTGGTAGAAACGCTCCAACCAGACCAGACAGGACTGAACGGATAGATCGGTATAAATTATTCTTCATGTTTCCTATCCTATAAATATTGAAATCAACCCCTAGATGAGTCAGTCATATCTATCTTCTAATCAATGCAATAACGACATGAAAGTTATTTTATAGATTGTTTTGCTGTTTGTTCCCATAAGTTTTCTTTCTCTTAACGCTCATTAGTGGACAGAAAACTTCATAGCACTACAAATTCAATAGAGCTGTGTTCGTTGGTTATTCATTAGATTCGACAATAATAGTTAATTGTACGTCTAATGAAGAAACATTCCAAACTGTTAATCGCCGATTGTGCCCTTGTTCTCCCCATAAGTAAGTCTCGACGAGACTAGTACAAGCTGAAAAGGATTCGTCCCCATACATTGTCCTTCCAGAGTTATGATCGTTTTACTGAATATTGGACCATTGACAGTGGTATTCAAGAAGCCTATTAATTGAATTTCTATCTAAAGTTTTGTCCATATACAGGTCTCATTGCCATTAAATGGTCCTAAACGTTTCAGTGAAATGAATATTCTCTTCTGGAGATTTTCAGTTTTCAAAAAACTCGATTTTTTGACCTTTTCCTGTGCAATATAATGGTTTCTCAAAAACTGAATATCTCAAGAAGAGAGCATTTATTTTAGATGAAACTTTTATGACTTTCTTATGATAGTGAAACCTGTCATGGGCAAAACTTTAGATCGAAATTTTACCAGTGAACATCTTTTTGAATATCATTGTCAAAGATCCAATATTCAGTAAAACGATCATAACTACGGAACGACAGCTTATGGGAAGGAATCCTTTTGGGCACATACTAGTCTCATCGAGACTTACTTATGAGGAAGATATAAGCTCAATCGACGATTAAAAGTTGGGAATGTTTCCTCATAAGTTGCTTTACAAATATCACCGGGGCGATTTTGAAAGAAGAATGTTCGGAAGAAAAAAATAGTTGATTCGTAATCAACTTGATCAGTTACTCTCGTCCCG